CCATCCATCCATCCATCCATCCATCCATCCATCCATCCATCATCTTCTGCTTCAGGGTTGTGGGAGCAGCATCTTCACCAGGGAGGCACAGACATCAACATCCTCCTCTTCAACTCTTCTAGGACCCCATGGTGTTCACAGACCAACTGACTATTTATTAATTAATATCCTGATGCTGCTCAATAATCCAGGTAGAAAAATCTAAAAAATTAAGTCTGGTCCTCTGGACATTCACAAAACAAACAATACAGTTCATAATAAATAAACAATAAATGTTTTTTGTTTGTTTGTTTGTTTTTTGAATGTCCAGAGGACCAGACTTAACTTTTTTAGATTATTAAGTAATACATTTATGTTTTTAAATTTAATGAAAGACAAATCTTTAAAATTTAAGGACAAAATTTAATCTGTTTTCAGGTCTCATTGTAAAAGCAGTTTCAAAGATTACAGCACAGTGTGATGTTTTGCAATTTTAACATGAACCTTGTGCATATCTGTAAATAATAAAAGTGAAGATATTTTTAATACATCTTTATTGTAAAAATCTAAACTAAAATGAAAAATATATGGATTTAAAGCAGCAGGGAAGGCAGTAAGGTAGGATTATGAATCAGGTTTAAAAGTTACAGCTCCATTAGAGCATGACATCTCTTCCACAACATCGTGTGACAAAACCTTCAGGGTGCTCTTCTTCTAATATGTTTAGTGGTGGCTAGTAAGTAGCTTAAGGGAGCACTACCGCCACCAGGTGGTAAGACCAGTTGGATTCTAGTCCCCGCCTACAGAGCCGGTCCAGAAGTGTAAATGGAAACACAACAGACCCGAGCCGATCTGAACCGACCCGAACTGACCTGATCCGCACTGTGACAGTGGAAAAGGGGCATACGTTCATCAGCCAGTGGAAGAACCCGGATCAGACAATGAGCAGTGCCATCTGGATTTCGATGCGTAAATAAGCTGAAAGGAGCATAACAAATTGAAATTAGCAGAAAAAAGTTACAAGAAGCACAAAAATGTTGTAGTTAGTAGAAAGAACCAGAAAGGAGTGCAAAACAGTTGAAAAAACATCAGAAAGTAGCTGAAAGAAAAAAGTTTAAATTTTGCAGAATGAAGCTGAAAGAAGCTGAAGCAGAACAAAATGTGAAAGGAGAAGTAGAAGGTTGTAAACAAATCTAAAGATTTGAAGGATGTAAAATGAGCTCAGTTCATTTTCTATGAGGAAAAAAATGACAAAAGGCTAAATATTTCAAAAAGCTAAATGGTAAATGGACTGTACTTATATATCGCCTTTCTATCTTATTGAGATACTCAAAGCTCATTACAACAATCTGTGTCTTGATTTACCCATTCATACAGCACTCTACTAGATCTATGTAAAGCTAATTGAACAAATCATTCTAAAGAGACTAATCAGAGCTTTAGATCACATTCATACACTGATGGGACACATCAGAGGCTATGAGGGGTTCAGTGTCTTGCCCATGGACACTTCGGCATATGACTGCTGATGGATTAGAACTCCCAACTCACAGCCGCCTTTGACACCATCGACCATGAGATCCTCATTGCTAGGTTGGAGCAGTGGGTGGGCGTCACAGGATCAGCCCTCAATTGGTTCAGATCTTACCTCACTGACAGATCCTTTTGTGTCTCCATCAAGGATTTTAGTTCAGCAGAGGCAGAGCTTAAATGGGGGGTTCCGCAGGGGTCCATACTGGGTCCCCTCCTATTCTCTTTATACCTGCTGCCGCTTGGTGCTATTTTCCGGAAACACAACATGCCCTTCCACTTCTATGCCGATGACTGTCAAATTTACTTCCCCCTAAGACACAATGGTACATGCTCTATTCAACCGCTGCTCAACTGCCTGGCTGACATCAGGGACTGGATGGCTTTAAATTTCTTAAGTTTCAATGAAAATAAGTCTGAAGTCATGTTGTTCCCTCCCAACGACACAATCACAAACCACTTCATCGACCTTTCCGCTCTAACCCTGTCAGAAAAACAAAGCGTCACTAATCTGGGTGTGATAATGGACCCTTCCCAACATGATTGTTAAATCATGCTTCTTCCAACTGAGGCGGCTGTCTAAACTGAAGCCCATATTGTCCAAAAAGAACCTGGAGACAGTAATACATGCATTCATTACATCTAGGCTTGATTACTGCAATTCACTCCTGTTTGGTATCAGTCAGACCTCCATTGCACGACTACAACTGGTCCAGAATGCAGCAGCCCAATTTTTAACCAGTACAGGCAAAAGAGAGCACATTATACCAGTTTTGGCCACACTGCACTGGTTACCGGTTCACTTTCGAATCCAGTTCAAAATACTCATGTATGTCTACTGAACAGTTCCGCCCTCCCCATCTCTCTGATCTGCTACAACCGTATGTCCCACCACGCTCCCTGAGGTCAGCGGACCAGTTGCTCCTCACAGTTCCAGGAACTCGTCTTAAGCGCAGAGGTGACAGGGCCTTCTCTGTAGCAGGACCAAGACTCTGGAATGAGTTACCTCTGCTTGTCAGACAGGGCCCCTCCCTCTCGGTTTTCAAGTCCCGTTTAAAAACTCACTACTATTCAATAGCTTTCAACACCAGATGATCTGTGTTTTGATCCTGTATGCTCTACACTGGTTTGTCATCATTATCTGCATCGTTTTTTGTCTATATTCTGATTTACCTCATTTTGTATTTTGCTTTGTGTGTTACCTGTTGTTTTGTCTGTACAGCACTTTGGTTGGCCTTGTAGCTGTTTTAAGTGCTCTATAAATAAAGTGGTATGGTATGGTAACTCTTGCATTGGAGGACGACTGCTCTAATCACTCAGCCACAACCGCCTATAGGCTAAAGTTGCACCAATACCAAAAGTCACAGCAGGATTGTCCTGAACGAGCTGAACGTTTTGATTTATGATTTGTTGAAATAGCACAAAAATTGTGGAACGAGACAGATACTGAAAAACGTACAAAGAAAAATGGATGACATTAGTGTGAACACTTTATAAGAATTCACTCAATGAATGTTAGATCTGTTTCACGGCCAATGACCAAAAACCTGAATACATTGTAGATGAGGAATGTTTTTCATACTTAAAACAGAGATGACTGCAATATTTTTAAGTCAAGAATGTGTTAGAGAGTTTGTTCTCGTTGGATTGATGCATTAGTGAACTGACTTAATTACTGCATCTTTGGTTTCTGTTCACTCAGGGAATTCTAAATGTGAGCAAACATCGAGCGCAGAATGAAGCTGTCATCAAGAGTGACAGCTTGTCCAACAATAACACAGGTAAAAAACTGTCTAACCTCAATGCTGCTGCTGAACAGTCAACAAACTGGCGTTCATCTACGTTACCCCCACCCTCCCAGCCAACAAGCTCACTTTGATTAAATCATCCTTCTTGTTTCCCCGCCTCAGATCTGAGTGGAGAGGTGCTGGTGTTTGGTACCAAGAGTCGCAACAGGGCCGTGCATGGTGACGTGGTGGCGGTGGAGCTGCTGCCAAAGGCCGACTGGAGGGGAAAGGCCACAGGGCTTACTGAGGGATGGGTGGACGAGAAGACGGGGGAAGAAAGTGAGAGTAAATCAATGCCCACAGGTGTGACCAATTTACACTGTGACCAACACAAACATTCTGTTTACTCTCTGTTTGACTCAACTTTAATGACTTTGCTCTTTAAACCGGGCAGGTAGGATTGTGGGGATCCTGCAGAGAAACTGGAGGGATTATGTGGTGACATTCCCCCCCAGGGACAGGACACAGTCTCAGAGCAGGAGTTCCCAGCGTATCCTGGCAATACCCTGGGACAGACGCATCCCTAAGATCCGGATCAGCACCCAGCAGGCTGATGCTCTGCAGGTCTGACTTCTGACTCATCTGCACATGTTTCCCTTCAGTCAATTGTTTTCTTGTTTGATCTTAATTTACTTATACTTTCCTTACTCAACCACACTGCTCTTCCTGAATCTGAGCTTTGAGTGACTCCCTGGAGTAAACTTTATTCAATAAAAACAAAAACAAAATACAGAAACATCTGAACTAAGTACACCCTCCCTGCTTTAGAAGGATTCAGCAGGTTCAGTATCAGCCAGGAGCTACTGGTCATCAGGTGTGTGTTAACACAATGCCAAGGCAGACAGACATCAGAAACGGCCTCAGATAAGCAGCTGTTGCTGCCCATCCATTTGAAAAGGGTCAAATGTCATTTAGAGTTGTTGTTCTACAAAGAGAAAGATTATTCAGAAGAGGGAAGCTTTCAAGACAACAGCCCAGATGACCTGACTGAGCATTATTGGACAACTGCCAGTCTTTCCAAGAATGAACGTCCCAGCAAATTCACCCTGAGGTCAGACTGTGCAATGCTTAAAGGAATGAGCGCCATCTCAGGCTTAGTTAGCAGGTGGAAGGTCAAAGGTCATGACAGTAAAATTAGAAATAGATTGAACAAGGGGCAGCTGTGCCTGTATGGTTAGAGTAGTCGTACTCCAATGGGAGAGTTGGGGGTTCGATTCTACCAGCGGTCACATGTTGAAGTGTCCCTGGGCGAAACACTGAACCCCTCATTGCATCTGATGTGTGTTCCATCACTGTCTGAATGTGATAAAGCTCTGATTAATCTCTACAGGTTCAGATTATCTATGTAGAGATGTAGCACAGTGCTGTTTGATTGTGTGTCTAGTAGAGTGCTATATGAATGTGTGTGTAGTAGAGTTCTGTATGAATGTGTGTGTAGTAGAGTGCTGTATGATTGTGTGTGTAGAAGAGTGCTATATGAATGTGTGTATAGTAGAGTTCTGTATGAATGCGTGTGTAGTAGAGTTCTGTATGAATGTGTGTGTAGTAGAGTTCTGTA